CACTTGTGTGGCCAATCATATATTCCCACAAACACTAAACTCAAATTTGACTGTACCACGTACGGCTTCGTCCAATCCGTATGCGTTGTAGATCTTTGCGCTTGCGCGGTTTCCTCCGCTATAATTGGGTCCTTTTCGTTTACAGACGTATCCTTTTGAAACCGGAAATTCAGTTCCTTCGATTTGTTCTCGCTATTTCTTTCAAGCTTATGGTAGCTTATTTCATTTGGAAACATGCTGCCTATATTCAAGTCTATCCCCACGCATATGGTAAGCGGTAATTGGGTTATTTGATCAGAAACTGCACGGTCAGGCTCGCACGGACTTTCGTGCATGCTGTGCTATTGAGCTAAAGTTAACCTGTCTAACGGTAGCTGGCCGATGTGTCTGTGGCTACTCAGGTAACAGCTGTTATATGATTTATCTCCTAAACCTAAAATCGTGAAGAAGATCATTCTTCCTAATTAAGAAGATTTAAAAGATAGATTTACCATAGGACTCAGCAGCTATTAGTTGGTTATTGATATTGCAAATGCATTGTCTTACCTAAAGAAGCTTGATGTGTGTGCTCGGACCCATAAGACAAATTCATTACTACACTGCAACCTTCAGTCAGGAATTGAAGGGTCTTGGTGTTATATTCATCTGCACACTTTACACTGAAAAAAGCTGTTTTAATGACGACATTGGTACTTGTTTCTGTTATTGCTTGTGTTGTGTGTGTGTGTGTGTGTGTGTGTGTGTGTGTGTGTGTGTGTGTGTGTGTGTGTGTGTACAGATTTGTGTGTGGGGGGGGGGGTTAAGTAGCATAGGAGGGCTTAAGCAATCATGGTGTACATCCTTTTCACGTATAATAATAAGACATTCATTGACACACACCCCTCCCTCCCCAAACAACTGTTTTCCAGGATTATAAAGGTCAGAAGCTGGCAGAACAGATTTTCCAAGGAATAATACTCATCTCAGCGGTAAGGAACCAAAATTTCACACTTTTTTTTTTTTTTTTTAAATTTTACTTGAAGTTAAATTTTAAGATATTTGTGTAATTGTTGCAGGGGATTGGATTTGTGTACGGTCTGATCATTGAACAGTTCGGGTGGACAGTGTACATTGTCTTGGCTGGTTTTGCTGTCTCCTGTGTGGTAAGTTTGACATGATAGATACATTGTGCACCTATGATGTTTCTGTCCTTGCTCTCCTTTCAGCCTGAGAGGAAAACATGGCAGAATTAGACACATTGTTGTTTTCGCTTGTTTTTCACACCTGTCCAGCCCTTTAACAACATCCATCATAACTTAATTTTGGGTCTGTTCTTTGCTTTAGTTGACCTTGCCTCCATGGCCTATGTACAGAAGGAATCCTCTGTCCTGGCAGCCGGCTTTACCAGAGAGCACTGCAGAGCCCAGCCAAAAACCTCAGGAAAGCACCAAAAAGAAGAAACACAAATAACTCGCAGGCACCCCGTATCTGCCTGTTAATACATCTTTTTATATTGGATGTTGTACTGAAGTCTTGCAATTAACATTTGAACCATTTAGTAAGAAACCTTTGTTACAGTGTTACCCAGCAATGAAACTTGTGTTTCACATAATAAACACCTGATACAGTCCATGCTTTTTTAAATTATGTTTATGTTTGGGAATGCTGAGAATGCACATGCAGTCATCTTGTTTTAATTCTTTTATCAATTAAATGTTTTATTGTGGTTTTCAACATAAAACAAGTATAAACAAGAAATACATTAAGAATTTATTAGAAATTGTTCACATGTTAATATCTACATCTAATTTACATTATTTTGGCTATAATATAAAATACAATTGAGCAGTAGGGGGAAGATTTAGTGTCCTCAACAGATGAAACCATTCTAGAAATTCTGGCTTGCATTATAAATAAGGTGATATTCCTCTACAGCAAATGGAAAGACAGAGCGTGCTTAAACATGACAGAAATATTTGCATAGGAATCTGGAAAATCCTTAGATGCTTTCACATTTTGTGTTTATACTGAAATTAAGTTTAAAAAAAAAGAGAAAAAAATTAACTTAATTTACATGTGATTTACACAATAAGATTATATCTGTATGACAGTCCCATGACAAAACCTGCAGTCAGAAGTGAGATCTTACATGTTGTCCGGAAAAAAAATGTAACAGTCCCAAACAATCATGTTGGTAGTGGCAGGAAAAAAATGCCTTTGAGCAGTTTTCAATTCAGTCCATGTTTGAACATGAATGCTGGTGTATTTCTTGCAAAGACCATCTTGATGTGCGTCATCATTTAAGATTTGTGGCTCCACCTTAATTCGGGTTTTCCACAGAGACGATTGTGAAAAACATGTAAGCTTTCATATATAGTGCTTTTTAAATCTTAAAGGCCATATCCTCAAAGAATTTCAGCTGCCTCACCATCACAGCATAGGCTTGGTACTTCTCATCTCCCATCAGGTTGCGAAGGCACAGCTAAAAAAAAAAAAAAAGGAAGACAAGTGGGGTCAGTTTACTGTGAACTGGCATGTTTATCTGTGCATGATCACGAGTGGTGTTTTAATGGCAAATTTGTTAGCCTCAGATATTCTGAATGTACGAGGCCATGAAAAAGTATTCACCTCCTTCCTGATTTCTTAGTTTTTTCCATATTTGCCATACTTTCATGTTTAGCAACATCAAATTCCAATATCTGACAAAGATAATCCAAGTAAAGGCAAAATATGGTTTTTGGATTATATTTTCATGTAGGAAAAAAGCTACCCAAACCTACTTGGCCCTGTGTGAAAAACCTAAAACTAATAACTAATTGTGCCACCCTTGGCAGCAAGAACTGCTATCAAGTGAAAACTGACAATAAGTCTTTCACAAAACTGGAAGAATTTTGACCCACTCTTCTTTGCAGAATTATTTTAATTCAGCGACAGTGGAGGGTTTAAGGTCATGCCACAGGATCTCAAACAGATTTAAGTCCAGACTTTGACTAGGCCACTCCAAAATTTTCATTTGGGGTTTTTTGAGCTATATAGACCTGCTGGTATATTTGAGCTTCAGGGCACAAATGGATCACCACCCATTCTCCTTCAGGATTTTCTGGTAGAAAGCAGAATTAAAAATTATTAAATGTGAGATGAGCCTTTGTGGTCTTTTTAGTCAGCAGTGGTTTTCTCTTTGGAGCTCTCCCATAAGCTTGAACTCAGCGTGAACTGAGAGAAGTGAGGCCTACACTTGTTTAGATGTTGTTCTTGATTTATTTAAAGCCAAGAAGATTGGTATAATAATGTTTTTCTCCTCTCCACTACTATAGGGTTTATTAAACCTGGACCTATCCATGTAATTTTATCTTGATATTGGATGTGTTTTACCCACTTCTCTTTTAGCATCATCCTCCTCCTCCATCACTTCCAGCACTTTGTCCAACAGCTTGACCCCCAGGCCCTTCACCACATCTGTTCTCAGACGTTCTATGGCTCTTCTTATTTTGGCCGGACCAGATGTAGAGCCTTCTGAAGTGACATACATATTTAACACAATGGAGTTTCATAAAGACTGACATATTGCAAAGGGTTTGAACAAAGCATCTAACCTATTTGACCGAGTGACAAGTTCTCCGCTTCCTCTCGAGCCTTCCCATGAAGCAACAGGGTATCCCTGTACTTCCTGTTCAGTTTAAACTCTGGCAGTGCGGTAGAGCCAAATCTGCCTCTGTCCTCGCTTACACCATCTCCAACATCCATTCTCAAAGTCTGAGTCATCATATTAACTAAGTCGTGCATGTCGCTGGATTCAGTCTTTCTGCAGATAGACCACAAAACATGGATTATAAACATACGTTTAAGAAAATTTAGGTTTTGGTTCAGTTTTATAATTCAGCTAAGTTGCACTCAATTCTACTGCCGTATGCTCTTACCTTTCCCTGCAGTCTCCTTCTGAACGCTCTGTGGAACTTGTGGATGAGCTGCATTCATCTTCATCTGACTTTTGCTCCAGCAGCTTATCCTGCTGATACAACACAGATCTGTGTTTCAGACTCAGTACGACAGGATCAGATTAGCCTCACAATAGGCAGAATTTGCAGTGGGTCACTCTCAGTCAGGCCAGTGCCACAGTCAGTATGTAATGTAGCTTACAAATGAACAGTAAAGTCAATGCACTGTCACAGTGGATGGCATGTCTGTACCTTACTATTGGACTCTGCAAAAGAGGCAGACACAGATCGAGTAAATGGGGCACTGTCGTGCTCAGCCTTGGTGGACGTGACATCATAAGATGCCCTCCGTACAGCACTAACACCTGGGGAAGACAGAAAACTAATCAGAGACAGAAATGTAGAAACAAATATTAATTTCTGTAAATCCTTTTGTTTGTTTTGCAACAAAATGCTCCACTTTGAGTTTCGAGTATCGTACATGGTTGTCTGGCACTCTCTTGGGATTGCCTCAGTCTTCTTCTCTCTCTTGCAGAGAGGGGACGATCCTAAAAATAAAATTTGATAGAACAATATTGCATAAACTGTCAAACATGACAAGAATTAAAACAGAAATAACCTTTCTGCCCCCACAGACAGCGAGTATGTAATTGGATCTATTTGTTTGTCTGTCTGTCTATCTGTTGGTTAGCAGACTAGCATTCACAGTTCGAGGTGATTTCATTTTGGTGAAAATCAGTAAAAACTGTTACCCAAAATTTATTATAGATCATCTTCAAACTTTACAACAACATTCTAGGCCTTGGGATCAGCTAGATAGATCAGCTAAACATTTGACCTTGACTTTCATTGTTAGCACCCAAAGTAAAGATTGACCTTGAAGAAACCTTTCAAGAAATTATACTGAATAATGTAACATATGAAATGGAGCTGAACAAAATATTTTCTATTTTTTCCAATACGACGCCCTACATCGTCAAATGATGCCATAACAGGCTGACGTCATCATATTGTAATAAGAAAATGATAAAATATCAAAGTTTGAGTATAGACTTGGCCTTGCTCCTGTTTTGACACTGTTCTCTTTACTCTTGCTGACATTTGTTTCTAAGATGTAGAAGATTAAAAAATGCAGATATAGATAATCTGTTATCTTTCTCAAAAACTTTATGTCTTAGGCAAAGCAAATGTTCAGAAATTAAAAGCTGTGGTTTTAGGGGAATGCCCTCACCTGTGGTGCTGGTAAAAGTCCATCATTATGGGAGCTAACTGATTCTGAGGTCACAGTCACATCAGCTTTCTTGGTCTCAGAGTTCCTCCTGCTCCTCTTTTTCCCCTCCACTGCTACAGTATCAACAGGAAGCTGAGGTAAAGGTCTAAGAGCGGCCACCTTGGACTGAAAGGACAAAACAAGATGCAACAACTGCTTTAATTAGCCCAACTCACTCCTTTGTTACTGTCATGCATGCTGGCTGGCTAGCACTGCGATAGAAAGTGGTTAGGAACAGATCTTAACCAAAACAAATGCTAAATGAAATTTCCTCACTGGAGAGTCAGTGAAAGGTCAGTGAAAGAAGATCAGCAGCACATTCTTTTTTGTCTTGCCCTTCCTTTAAAATATCATTAGAACGATAATGATTTCAGCAACATCACTCCTGTATCAGTCTTTACCTTGTCCTGGTCCTCATGTTTCTGTCTTGTGTGCTTTCCTCTGTGCTGCTGTGATATAGATGGTTCTGATGATAGGTACAGAGGAGTTAGACATGTAGCAGCTCGATCTGGCTTACTGGCTTGTAAGGGAGATTCTTCCTTAACGGGTTCCTGAAAAAACACAAATACAATTGCATAAACACGAGGCAACGTGTACTATACTATATCTGCATTATTTAGCACTCACCAGTGGTGGAGGGAGTGGCTCTAACAGCTTTTCAGTAGATTCTAGGCTTTCCTACAGAGATACAATTGAACAAATAAAACAAACACTGAACACTTCAGATGAAAACATCAAAAGAAGGTACTTTAGGACACTTACTTGGATGTCTGAGGTAGGTAGGTGTGCTGGAGCATGCTTGAAAAGAGTCACAGTGTTGTTCTTATTGTCTGCATCTGCTTCTAGAACCTCGTTTTCTAGATTTGGGTCCCGTGGATCAGCTTTTTTAAGTAACTCCATGGTGTCATCCTTATCGTCCATATCTGAAATCTTTTTCTCCCCCGAGATAGATAACTTGTCCGCAGGGTTTGATTTGGCCTGCCGCTGAAAGTCAGACAAGTCACTGGCCACCCTCCCTTCGTCTTCTCTCGTGCTGCAAACACGTGATACAGACTTCAGAGGGGGCTTTAGTGGCGAAGGAGCGGGAGAGGGATCTGGTTTCCCTCTCACCTTGCTCTCTTTGCTCACATTATGCGTGAGAGGTTCATTAGCTGCCCAGTGATGTGACACGACAGGCTGGGGCTTCTGCACCTGTCTCTGTATCAGGTCATTGTCCTGCTGCACTGGGATATCAATATCAATGTTGCTAACAGTAAGCAGGGATGCTCTGAGAGCATCAGGTGAAGAGGGTTTGAATGGCGGAGGCGTCTGGATGGGAGTGCTGTCTACCACACCGTTCCGGCCTTTAAAGTGTTGTGATTTGTCGTCTTTCTGAGTTTAACAACAAAAAAAAACAATCACAGAGGGTTCCTTGTTTATATGAACATCTTTAACTTAATCACAAAAAGTTTAATAGGAGTGTTCTTTCTATGTTGCAGCTATATCCAAGTAGAAAACAAATACTTTCCACAAAGGGGTGCGTTTTTTTAATGAGCGCAGATGAGATGAAAATAAGAAAACTCAAAAGAAAGGATTGACTGAGTATCATTACCATTACACACTGATATGTGTAGGCTTCCATCAGTCTACCACTGTGTAAATAAAAATAATATAAGTCATAGGATTCATTTTATTACGGTAAATCAGTGTTAGTATTCATCCTTAACTTACCCGCTTTACCCTGGCACGAGGGTCAGGTTGTGGACTGGGAGCCAGCCTCTCAGGCTTTGGCTGACATGACATCACAGGTGACACACTGCTGGTCCTACAATCACTACTGCCACCAACAGGTCTTTTTCGTGACTTGGCAGTTTTTCTGGGGAAGTGAAAATCAAGACACATAATAAGCCTTTAAGAACAAACAGATCACTGCACAAAGAGAGGGGCAGAAATGATCAGGTTATAAAAACATACAAAGAAAATTTCAAAACACCATTTTTGATTTTTTTCATTAAAATGACTTAGAGGGAACTTACTCTTTTGTTGCCTCAAGGAACATGGCAATTTGTCGTTTTATGTAGGGCTGCCGGAGAATGAGTTTGACATCGGGCCTGTCTTCAGGTCTCTTAGACAGCATGCTTTTGATTAAATCTCCAAGCTGGGGCTCATACTTACTGGGCATCTGTGGAAGCTGTTTAGAAACCCAGAAGACAATTATCACCGTTCAGAATAAACCACATGTGACAAGTGTTAATTATTAAAAAACAAATCCAAATGGTTGAAGATACCTATCAGTCACACAGAAACCACAGTCTGGGCTTGTGAACAAGTGAGCTTAAGTGACAGTCACAAAATTACCCAAACGTTTTAGGCTCATTAAACTACATTGTGGTATAGATATTATTTTAATATAATATATTAAAATGGATTTATTCAGTAAGGAGTTTGCATGTTCTCCTCCATGTCTGTGTGGGTTCTCTTCAGATATTCCAGCTTCCTCCTGGAGTCCAAAGACATGCATGGGCTAGGTTAACAAGTGATTGTAAATTGACCATAGGTGTGAATGTGAGTGTAAACAGTTGTATGCCTCACTGTGTTAGCCCTGTGGCAGACTGGCGGGTGTTCCAGATCGTAACCCAGACAAAGATAGATGGATAGATACTGTAACTTACAATACTTTACCTAAAGAAAATACGAATAAAAAATTAATAATAATTTTTTTAAAAACATAAATATGTTAAAATATAAAGCTCACCTTTCCCTCTACAATACGATACACCAGTGAGTTCATGTCCTTGGCATTGAAGGCGTGTTTCAGTGTAGACATCTCATATACACAGCAGCCCAGGGCCCAGACATCTGACTAGAGACAGAAAAATCATAAAAAGATGTATGCATCATTATCATACAAAGTCTATGGGAGCATCATTCATGAGAGCGGACTTCATGACTTTGTACCTGGCATAATGTGACCTTTAAATTAAGTACTCAAAGCATAAGTACTTGTTAATATTACTACTTGCAGTTTCTTTCATTTATAAGCTGGATACCTCAGCTACATAACATTTTGCCCTAATATGGGCCAGTATTAGTGGATACATTCCTTGGTTATACTGCACAGTGTGCTAACATGTAATGAGCCAATAAAACACTACATGAGGGAAGCTAAAGTTACACATACAGTTTGGTGCCATAACCTATTTGGCAGAGCGCTAGCACTGTTTCACTTCTGTGGGAAAGAAACCTTTTAGTTCATTTCTTATGTGATCATCCTGGCACACTGTCCCTGTGCACTGTGCCAAAGCTTTCCTTCTGCGTTGAAACAGAAAACTTTTAATAGCTACGTAACATAGACATAGATTTATAGCTACATAAGTCTATGTCTTTGTCCTGCTTAGAGAACAACCCCTCTATGCACCAATAGCCTGGGAACAACAATCAAGGCAATCCTATTTATGCATGTGCTAATGTGCCCTTTAATGAAGCCCTGAGAGTTGCTGCCTCCTAGCTGATGTGTTTGACTCCATATACTACACATTTGTGTTTAATAAGTCATCCCAGTCCTTTACCCTGCTTATATAACTTCAAAGACAAGGAGTCATTTTAAACAGATATTTAAAATACCTTGTGGTTATAAGGTTTATTAGAGAAGAGTTCAGGACTCATGTAGTATGGGGTTCCTATGAGTGTGCTGGCCATATCATTCTGGTTCTCCAGTACTCGGGCAATGCCAAGGTCCCCCACTTTAATGATGTTGGTTTTCGTCAGGAAGATATTCTGCGTTTTAAGGTCCCGATGAAGAATGTTCCTCTCATGTAGGTACTGATATACAAAATAAGAGAAATAAGAGATTGATTGTCACTTCATGTGAATAAATGATGGAAAAAATGCATAAACTGATGCAGAACTCACCTGCAATGCCATGGCTATCTGGACAAACCACTCCACCACCTGCCTCTCGGGTAACAGCTCTCCTTTTTGTTGTTTAAGCCTGTGATAGAGGTCTCCACCTTCACAGAAACCCATCACAATGTACAGCTGGCAGTCATCTCCTTCCCAGGACTCCTTGTAAGTCACAATGTTGGGATGGCGCAGTTGAGACAGCAGCTGCGCCTCCTGCTCCGCAGCACGTCGTTCACGTTTGGAGGAGGTGGTCAAATTCAATCTCTTTATAACATACTACAAGAAACACAAACATGTGTGCTGAAAAACAAAAACTATGCAACTTTGAATAGATTTTACAAGTCTATGCCTTTGTTCTGTTTGGAGAGCAACTCCTCTATAGACTAGCAGCCTGGGATCACCTTTAATGAAGTACACTGGTCAATAGTTGTAATGAAAAAATACATTAAAAAACAAAAACTAAACTATACGAATGCATACAAGTTTATTCAAAGATGCATTGAAAATTTGTATTAAAAATGTTTACATTTGACTGTCTCTGATTCACCTAAGAAATGTATGGTCCTCTGGCTGGAGATATATAATGATTACTATAAAATTTTAGCTTCATTTATTAACTACTTTTCTATATATTTTTAAAAGGCCAGCCCACAATGGTAACGGGTAGCTCTGTCATCTCACTGCTAGAAGGTGCCATACTGCTGCTTGCCCTATGACATCTTGAATAATGCCCAGCTCCCACTGTGACATATGTGAAAAATAAATAGGATGGATAGATCAGCCACTTTCAGACCTTGTTCCTCACATTGAAATCTGAGGAAATGTTTGAATATGAATATCTCGGAAACTATTAAAGACATGCCTGAAAATTTCACTGGTATTTCATAACGGGTCTGTAATTACGGAAAAATTTATAAAAAAAAATGTATTGGCTAGTTAAAATATGAAAAAAAGAAATAAAAAGAAGATTCAAATAGTCCTGTAAACTTATTTACATACATATTTGAACACACAATAAAATAACTTTCTGAATGAGATATGGTTCTATTCCAAAATAATGCTGAGAGAATTAATTTTAACATGAAATTCTTGGTCTCAAAACGGCAGAAAATGCTAATTGCATCCATCTGTCACGCTGGATCGAGCAAATATGACAAGTTGTACCACAAACAAAACGAATATCAGAAAATAGTTTAATCCAAATAAAACAAAGTTCTGGAGTTACACATGGTACTCTAATTGTAACTGGCAAAGCATATCTCACAGAAATCATTACAAATATTCACGTACATACAAACTTTGGCCCACAAAAATCGTGTTGCAGGAGGGCCACGATGATTTCATATATGCTTCATCGTGAAAGAAAATAAATTGTGCAATGAAAAGCTGAGTTATAGGAGCAAAGAGTTCTGATTTATAAGTCAGTTATAAATGGACTACTTCACGTCTGTGAGACGCAATAATAGAGTACAGAAATATTATCATCACAGTGGTCAAGAAGCTTAAGCTGTTGTTTTAATGCCAAAGTTAGCAGAAACACTGGTTTTCAGTGGGTATAAAACCTTAACTCAGTCCGTGAGACTTTACAGGACTTATGCTAACTTTGTGCTAGCAGTACTTAGCAGGGTTTTAGGGTCTCTACGAAAACGTTTAGCATGTGGTTGAAAGGCGTGCTTATTTTAACATATCTGGGGTGTGTTTCCACTTACAACCGCTCTCTGTTTCTCACCTGTTTACGGTCTGTTTTGTGTTTCACCAAGTTCACCTCCCCATAGCTCCCTTTCCCAACGACCCTGATGAAAGTGTAATTATTCATCATTCCTCAAAACGCTTCATTACGAGGCCCGAAACGCCAAAGGTTTACAGGACCCGCTCCCGTCAAGCGTAACGGCTCTATTCAGTCCCACATCCTGCTGTGAATGCGACGCAAACAAATCTGCTGGGAGAAAAAACTTCCCCCTAGGTCAGCGCCAGCGACGAGATTTTGGAAACGCAGGAAATCAGCCGTGCTGGACAGTTTTTTCGTCACTAGGCAACTGGTCGCTCACTGCCGATGATGAGGTGAGAGGGGGGAAAGCAGCGCTCCGTTTGTGACACAGCGCCACCTAGTGCCTGGAGTCACAACAAGAAGCAGCTTCACCGCAGAGACGCTTTGTATGCCTTTCAGGGGACAGTGGCACAACTGTTCATCTAAAGCACCTTAATTCACACTACTACCCTTTACGAGAAGAATACAAAGCGTAAAAGCCACCGAGGACGTGTGACCTGTTTAATTACAAATGTAGATGTTTAAAAACTGAAATAAAAAATGAATGAATAAATAAAACGAATAAATACATAAAAATACAAATAAAATGAATAACGAAACAAAATACTATTTTTTTAACAAAACTGGCATCAAATTAGAAGTCAAATAACATTTCTATGATCTAAAAATAAATATTTATTATTTGTTTCTTGTTTCTTTGCATAATAGCAAAACGTTGTATGTTTAAAAAAAAACGTATTGGGAGACGTTAGGGTTTTCCCTTGATGACGCCACTGGTAGCACACTGGACCACTGCATTGGATGTAACCTTTCTTTATTAAAATTACGAGTTATACATGTACTATTTCTGTTATAGCATGGAAATTATGAACCCTTTATAACAAGTCATATAATATTCTATTTTAATGTTTAAATCCCACATCCAACAATATAGGTCTAAGCTTTGTATCAGCGGAGAGAAAACTACATTTAAATGCAAATTTACACCTGACATCTGCAATGAGTGAGAACTTCAAGACACTTCAGATAATTTAAAACCAGTGGCTCTTTGTCAGGATGCAAGCTTAGATGGTGCTGAAGAGCAATTTAACAGCGTTTTACGATTCCATTGTCAAACATAAATGGATGGACTACTCACAAGGGTACACTCACAGGGTACAATGATTTAAAAAAGGTTCAAATAAACTGATACACAACATCCTGTGTGTTAGCACACGTGTTTCAGTTCCAAGAAGACCACTTTAAGCTTGCGATGATCTTGACCTGTTTGAGGTTATGTAATCCACTAGATGGAGCACTACACCTGTACAAGCTGACACTGCACAATTTCAGCTTAGAGGTGTCTGCACAGGACAGAGTGTATGCACATGGTACTGAAAAAAAATTGTATGGGTTTATTTATTTTTGGCTTCAGTTTTAAAAATTAGGTTTGTCACTGATTTTATTGTTTCATGAAACAACAGGCAGAAGAGTTGGAAGCAAATTATTACATTTTTTTTTAAACTTTTTTAAAGTTTTTACTTACTGTAAGCAACATGCCCAGTAAACTGGAGTAGAATACTTGACTAAATGTAAGTAACATTCCTACTAGTCCTATATGTGGTGCCATCCGATGGTGTTAGGGATTTTATGATTAACATCACTCTAGTTCAGTGGCTTTGATGGGGGTGGGGTATATTATATTTTAGGCGGGGTAGTGACACCCCATACCCCCTTTGAAACACGCTCCTGCTCATGTCTAGCACGACTCAAGACAGACAAAAAGTAAAAAAAAAAAAAAAGAGAAAAAAAAAAGCAATCCTTGTTTGATCAAACATAACGATTATTTTATTGCAACACTGTCGCACTTCTATGTGACAGCAGGCCAATAAAACCGGCTACACCGCTCAGCGTGTGCATGTCACAAGCATTTATCTAAATTTATTAGAGCTTATAATGCCTAACTAGCCTACACCTGGAAGTCTGTTAACCACAATACCTTGGCTGTTAACGTCATAAAAACCATGACACATCGTGTTTATTACAGCCACTGTCGAAACAGCACGTCGATACAGGTGTTCTCGCCCCCAAGCATTTTATTACAGGTGTGGGAGTCACGAGTGAGGGGAGGGAAAGAGGGAGGAGATAGCTACCGTCGGTGCGATAGAGCCGTTCACCTATGTGCCACACTACTAGAGCGGTGATTGGTCCGCTTCACTGTGTCCGTCCTTGCCCTGAGGTGACGTCAGGAGGAACCCTGCTGGTGGAGGTTGGCGCGTGCAGATTCAGCGCGAGCGCTCAGAGTAGGAGAGACAGCAGGCGGGCTCCAGGCAGAGACACCGGACCTTCGTGACAGCACATTTTCAGGTAGGAGGGAGACACTGCGTTAACTTTCATTTTGACTCCCACCCTCTCCGACAAAGAGCAGATAGGCGCTTGAGCGCGGTTTCTCGTCAGGGTTTGGACAGCTGCTCTCCCCCACTGAGCTCTCTGTGAGGTAAGCTGTCGTTAACGGGCACTTTGGCTGCATTTACCTCGCCTGTAAGGACTTTTCCGTTGAAGGAATGTGTTTATAACAGCTGAAGTGAGATTTAACGACTTTTAAAAATAACTCGTTTTCAGCGTTTTAGGCTGCTGAAGCATAAACAGCAGCCGGGGTCACGTTATATCCTCCCATTCACTCCGAGAGGACCTCGGTGTAACTAAAGCTGCTGTTTCGAAGATCAGATGCTGACATGGAATATACTAGAGACTGAAGTGATCGCTTTTTATCCTCTTCTTCTTTCACTGAAACCATATACAGGTAGATATCTATCTAAATGGCTCAAGTTTAACTTATGGTATGTCTACAAAAAGCGTTAGGCCAGAAGGATCCCTGTTATTAATCTGTAAATCAGAAATACTGTAATGATTTCATCAGTAAAAACACATCACACTGTACGTCTTCCCCGGGAAGTCCTTAAAGCAGTTTGAGTGTAACCCCATCTGTCTCTGTCGTTTATTTGCTTTCTGTTTCTCTGTGGCTTTCTTTGCACACCGTCTCTCACTTTCTTAACACTTCACACACCTCCTCACCTCTTCTACTAAGAAGTCCTCTTATCATTGATAAGCTGGCCTTAAGAGGAGATTTGGTGTGCGTCACTGACACCAGATGACCAATCAACACTGCTGTTAGAAAAATCTCAATGTGTTTGCCATGCAAGCAGATGGGTGCAGGTCGGTTGATTGATATGCAGGTATGGATGGGCTCCATGGCGTTCAGTTGACAGCTGCTTTCAGACTCTGGGAAACACAAACTGGCTCTTCTTTCTTCTTTTTCACTGTCTGTGTTTATGCTTCTAAATATGTTCCACTTGGCACCCTGTGAAAAAGAGCTTGCCCACATCTGCGGAGGTCTTTATCAAGTGTTTGACCTAATGAAACTTCTTGTTGTTGTATGAAATATGTGAATGGAGTTTGTTAGTTTGTTTTGACAGCAGCTGCTTTATCCCCCTGTGTCTTTCGTCCTTGTCAGTGTGCGCAACATTCTCAGAAACAAAAACACTAGTTTTCCAAAGAGATAATAAAGATATCAAGATAAATAACCAAACATGTTGGGGGTAAGATTATGAAATTTGATTCAAAAACACAGCCAGACTGATCTGAAGGTTTTAAAATCACCGAAAGATCATCTCTTTGCACTAGTGTAGTGGGCTTTCAGTGAACTCTGTCTGCATTCCTTGGACATGTCTTTGACCAGACTTTTTGTTCATACTTGGCAGCATATTTTCCCCTCAGTTTGCCATAGATGGTGTGGAGAAGTATGGAATAATAGTGATTAAGCTGAGCCAAAATCAGTTTTTATTCTTTAAAAAAAACAGAAGAATAATAAACAGAACCAATTTGGAGTTTATCAGCATCGTTATAGAGACACAAGCCAAATAAGTTATTTGCAGAGCTCTGTCTCCTTAAATGTTAATTTAACTTTTTCTACTTCCTCTTTTTTTCAGTCTTTTGCATTCATTTTGTGGTGTGTTCATGTGTGTCTTTGTGTGTCTGTGAGTGTGAGAGACGGTTTAGCAGGTCCGAACAGAGGTTTTTCGCACGTGCCATTTTGTCACATTTAACTGTCGTCGTGTGTGTGTGTTTGTGTGTGTGTTTCTTCTGTCTACTGCGCATCACAGGAATGGGAAACCAGTGAGTACAGCGACTCTCTCTAATTCTTCAACAGGGGGTGAATGCTGCATGTCACCTACTTCTCAGGGAATGTGACTATGATATTGTGCATTTTTCCAACCTCCAGCTTCTTCAGTCCTGTTGCTTATTTACTCAGCTGAGCAGCTTATCGTGTCCCACTGGCCAAAGTCATGCCATCCGTGGACGTTGAAGGGCTTTTTTTTTATTATCTGCTTTATGCTCATACAATACCATGCATGTATCTTTCCTCTACTCTCCCACATATTTAAGCTTTGGCCTTTTCTGCCCTTGCGTGTGTGAAACATGAACCTTAATCTGCTGTTTATAGCATTTGCCTGTTTTTTTTTTTAATTAAAAAAAAACAACAGACACCCTTGCTCATGTCTGACTGGATTAAACTCCAGTGGCTTGAAATGTGTTGTTTTGATATAAAAGTGCTGTGAAGGAGGTTTAGGTGCATGTTGGCATTTGCTGCGTAATGCTACCTTTAGAAAATGCAACCACTGGCAACAAAAGGTTGACGCATATATGGATTAAAAATGACTTTGATGTTCAATGTCACTTCTTCTCAGTGCATGAATTAACATGAATTTCCATATGAGCAAGGTGAGATGCTACAAACAAGCAGCATGCGAGAGATGTTTTCACTCTTCCTCTGGCTTCATGTTCTCAAAACAGTCTTTTGCTCTTATGCAGTTAGGGGGATTAAAAAATGCAAAGCCTTTCAGAACTGTGAAGAGTTTTATTTTCAGTGGTTTAATTCATTGTTTAGTCTCTTAATGGAAGTCATGTTTTACTGTAGCTTTTTATTATGCAATCCAACCATTTTGTATACAGAAAACGAACATCTTTACAATCAAGGGGTCATAACTGTGTAGTTGCATAGTTCTCATAAAATATATCTTTTATATATATTTAAATAAATAAATATTTCTTATATAATATTATACTGTTAAATGCCAGACTTTCAAAAAGCACGTGTACAAACGATCCATGTGAACCAAAAGCTCAGACTTCAGATTGCTCTTGGGTCTGTATGTTGTAAATAAAAGAGAGTTATCATCTCAACAGCTCAGACCTTCTGTTTGCAACAGGTAGTCAATCAGAAGAGTTTT